TACATACATACATACATACATGCATAACAATTATGTATGTACATTGCTTTGTATGCATTTCAGTATTTATGTATATTCATTGAGTTTTTAATTGGTATAAAGATAATAAAAATTGTATTATTTCAACTACAAAAATATGCAATTTCATTTTAATTGAAAGGTATTGTGCCATTTCCATAAGGAATAATATAAGGAAATGGATAAGGAACAAGAGTTTACGAGATGAGCTTAGCTTAGCGGCTGGCGTTACCGACTCTGCACATCGATGATGCAGGTTCGATTGCAGAGCCTCGAGAAAGTCTGATAAGGGATGTGGGGATATTCGAAATAACAGCTATAACTTCTACCGCTGAGACTTTGTTGCTTTTTCCTAAAAACAAATCGTTATATAAAGTTCAATAACACTGACGAAATAACTACGCTACCATGATACAAAAAAGAAGGTTGTTTCAATAAACAGCTTTTGACGGCTAACATTTTTGGAAGTTTCATAAATTGTGAGTATTCTCAACGGCCTTACCACTTTGATAATATTAAAACAATAAATCGGAGTATTTTCTTTCCCTCATTTATAATATTTCAAATCAAAAATCATTATCAGTGCTTGGTAAATTTTTTTACTTACGTGGTTCGCACCTTTTTTATTAAAAATATATAAAATATGTAATGTTATAGGAGACTTCATTGAAATTGTTCTTTTTATTTCAGAAGAAAAATCGTGAGAGCATTATGTTATTTTTTCATTTTCTTATTTTGAATGCAATCTTACGATTTAAAAACCTAAATCTAAAGAATGCTCTTTCTAAATAAATTTTTTTATAATCACCAATTCCATGTGAATAAATTGTTCTCATAACTTAACATGCAAAACTAAATCAAATTGGGAAAAATTGTTTTTGTTTTGCTTTATTATTTTGGGAATATTTGTTCACATAAAATTCGTGATTCGTGATGAAACTCGTGAAAATTTACTTTTACTTTCGCTGAAAAATCGTCAATTTCCCTTAAAAAAATCGTCATTTCAGTCAAAAAAAACGTCAAATTTGTGTTTATTATACTTTTTAAGTAAATAAAAATTACAAACGAAATTAACTAAATTAAAATTTCATACCGTTTACTTAAATTTATTTTTGAATAAATCGAGTAAAATGTCTGATATTTAAGAAAAAGCAATTGCTTATTTTTTATTCATATGGCCCAATGCTCGCAATCCCGTACTCTATCAAAAAAAATAAACCCAAAAATAAGCAAACATCAAAACCACAAAATATAGGTTATAATTAACATATTTGCCGTGTGAACAATAATTTAACGACTAAGTACATATATTAAGCAAAATAATATATTTCAAGCATTTGTGATATTTAATTCAACAATATTTTTTTATCATTTTACACAAATTCACGATCAGTGCCACACGGCAACACTCGATTAGTTTGACAGCACTTGTAGAAGAAATAAAAATTGCTAGTGCAGCACGAGCAAGTTGAAATATATTTCCGAAATCGATTTTCGCTCTTGCAGTTGCAGTCACACTTTGCAACTTTTATTTCTGAAACTGATTTCCGAAAAGTGACAGAAAGATTTTTCTGGCTGTTCACACATCGAAATAAAATTTCTTTCTCAGTTTGACAGCGAATTGCATGCGAAAGTCGGAAATATTGCCACGTCTGACAGGCTCTTAGCTTTTCCAGTAAAAAATTGCAGCGAGAGCGAGAGAAAACTAGCAAAAAAGTTATTGAACACAAAACTAGTAAAAAATTGCAAGTGAACATTTGTTGCACTGTTTTGACAGTCTGCTGTAAATATTTTACTATTTATAACTCAGTTTTAAACTCTTTGCTTTACACATAAGCACTTAAACAGTCCAGTACAACATTAATATTTTGATTTCCACTCATTTTACTTTTGTTTACGCTTAACCAATTCAACAAATGGCAACTGTTGACATTCATTCTTCTTCTTCTGTTAGCTAATTTCTGCTAGTAAAAATTTCACTGGCAAGAATTTAAGGGCGGTATTGTCACTTGCGAAGCGAATGAATTTGGCGAAGCGAACGGTTTGGCGAAGCGAATGGATTGGCGGACGCAACTTAAATATGCATTAAGAGTGTTCGCTTTTACCAGCTTGTGCAAGTTCTTCGCATCGCGCACACTTTTAATACCTTCTCTACCTTTTAATTCGCTTCGCCAAACCGTTCGCTTCGCCAAATTCATTCGTTTCGCAAGTGACAATACCGCCCTAAAAAGCTCTCCCGTGTTATTACGCTCTCTATTCAGGGCTCTCTTGCACATTTTTGGGTTATTATACACTTTTCCAGAAAAAATTTGCAGGTTCCAGTACAAATAAGTACTGACTCTTACTATACAAACCTAAGATTAGCCAACCGCGTCCATGGGGTCAAACGTAACACACGACAGCTCGGTTTAGTGAATGGCGCGATATAATTGCACACTTACGGCACTTCTCATTTGACGCTGTAGATGACGTTCCCTGTCTCAGTCGTTCAGTAGCTGCGTGTCCTTTTGATTCTTCCCGCCAATCGCGACTGTGTAAGCCAATCTTTAATATTCTGACGGCGGCATAATTTCCCCAGAATACTAAAAGTACAACATCAAAGAATTCGAATTACCATATTCGAAGCAATCGAGCCATAACCGCGAAAGAGACGTAAGCTCTAAATGTTTTTATTTGACATTTTGTTTCAAAATTCCATAATTTTTCCACAAAAAAATAGATTCTTTATATCCATCTATTGTAAATGGTACCGCAAAAAATTTACAAGGCAAACAAACACACCAAAAAAGTAGCACAAAGTGTAAAGTATTATTATATAAATAATTCTATGGTAAATAAGCTGGTTTAAATTAAATAATTAAGTAAAATTTATTTTTGTTTTAAACTACCACTATGCACTATTATCCCCACCTTTTGCGAAATTCAGCTACCATTTTAGGAAGTGTGATTGAATTCTTTCCCTTAAAAAAAAAAAACACTTTTCGTAGAAAATGCTGTAGAAGTTTTAAGAAGCAGCAGGTATACGCGCTAAACATTGTTGACGGTTTTCGCTACTCCAGCTTGTGGAAATCGTCAGATTATATACATCCCGTTATCCTTGAGTTGTTTTCTTCATAATAAAAAAAAATTGGCCGTGCTCGAGAATGTCAAGGTAACTTTTTGTTTGCAAGTTTGCGAACCCTCCTAATCCCTTGCGTCACGCTAAAATCATCAGATTATTAAAATTACCAATTTTTAGCATGTAAGTAACCACCATTCCTTAATCTGACGCGCTCGAGTAAATCCGACTATAAATTTTTTTTACTATTCTGATCAGCTGCCCTCAAGGCGCATCCATATAAGGCGGTACCAATTGCATATAAGTAAAAGTCCCGTGTATTTTGTTATTGCTTTTTGGTACATCAGGATGTCAAAACGAAATGAAATAGGAGATAATTTTCGCCATTTCGTTTTGTTAACATCCTGAAGTTACACCATTTCGCCTTGGATGACATTCTGCTGTACTGGTGTAGGGACAAAAATATCATATCGGCTGTGCATGTAACACCACCATGTATAGATGCGCCTTGGCTGCCTTATGCGCGCGGCTCTACACAAATGGCTTACTGCCATCCCTAAATTGGCGCGTCAAGCGCCAAACAACTGTCAAAAATCCTCATGCCCATACAATTTGTATGAAGCATCCCACAATAACGCGGCGCTAACGCCGAGCAAATGGAATTTTCATTTTTGACAGGGCGTTACGTGTTGAAGTTGGATGCGGAAGACGGAAAGAAAGAGAAAGGACAAAAAAGTGAAAGAGGAAACGGGAATAAAAACGAGAGGATCTGAGAAAACGTCAAAAATTACGACGCGTTGATTTGGGGATAGCGCGCGCTGACACTCGTCGACAATGGATAACGCAACGCTTAGCGCTCCAATTTAGGGACGGCAGTTAGATTTGGTAGAGGTACTCAACAGGCTGCAGTGTATCTCCCATATGTTAATCTGACTAGTACGCGTTCAACGCTATAGGCCGAAGTAGCTCCAACCCAACAAACATAATAAATAAGAATTTAGCTCAAATAAATATTTAGACCAGTAAAACTAGATCAATTTGGTAGGAAAATTTAAAAAAATTGGTGACAGCGATTTTTTGATTCAGTTTACTTCTATTTGACACGTAGATCATGGATCCACAGTCTTGCCCCTAAATTTCATTTGGCAACATTCCGCCATCTTGGATTTTATTTTTTTGTGTGGTTTTTGCGATTTGCAAGCTTAGTTTGCATTGTCATTGACCTCGTGTGTATCGTTGTGTCTATAAAGATCTGAAGAAGAAATGCAAAAATATAGTACATACAGTCCAATTAGATTGGAGAAATTAAAATTTGCCCATTTTTCGCATGGTAGTTTTTTTTTGCACATTTTAATATTAAAAGTGGCGATTCAGTTTATAAAAGAATTTCATTGAAGAACAATTCTATGCGCAAAAACTTTTGGGCCAAACCTTATCCAAGTAAATCGTCCTATCGGCCGTAGTAGATATTTATTATATGTAAAAATGTTCAATTAGCATTTTAGTTAAACCTTTTGTAGGCGAGCTGCAACGCTACCAACACGCTCGACGCGTACAAGGTATAGTAGCCGACGTTGAAGAGATTGAGTCCACTCATCCATAACTGTAGCATACCAACATCTTTAATGTTTGGACAATTTTGGCAATGTAAGTCGGCGACATCCATCCATGTCACTTTTTGCGGTCTCACTAGTAGCAGCGCATTCATTGCTGCCCGTAGTCCACTTTGCACTGCACCACCTAAGAAGCCACGATAACAGGTAGCCGCAGCGGCTGATGACGACCATATGATGCGATTCCAGGGCGTGGTGAAGGGCACATGACCCATCGCGCTTAGCAGGAATGTGTGCTGACTGTAGCTGATTGGCGCTTTCATCTCTTCACCGAAGTGTTGGGCTAAAGCATTCAACACAGTTGCTCGAACCAATGAGTCCATGGCACTATCATGCATCGTCATGCCCACATAAACGCTAGGCCGGTACTCGTGGCCCACTATGAATGGTTCATTTTTTAAGAAATCGCCTGAGTATCCAGCCTTCCGCCAGTGACCATCGGTGTAACACGCTATGAAGCTGGTTACGTATTTCGCGGCATCCGATTTTTGGTTAATCACATTGCGTATTTCCATGGGTACTGGTGGGGAGATATTTATATGCTGCAAATGGTTCAAGGGAATCGCCAAGATAAGAGCTTCAGTTGTATGGACGTGCTGCGCAGAGTCATGCACCTCGACGTAGTCTTTGTAATGGCAGATGGCTTTAACCTGCCGCGAGGGAAGGATTTCTGTGTTTTGCAATGTTTGTTTAAGTTTCTTGATTAGTCGAGCGCTGTCGAATTCCAACAAAGTATTCGGACATTCCAAGTAGCTGAAATGACAGCATTTGAATATACATACTTGTCTATAAATAAGGACCAAGGTCTTATGTAAATACATACATACATATTCATTATGTTTTGTACGCCACCGCAACCGTAGCATAGGTTCATGAATTCTTTGTAGCTAATATCATCCGCCTTTAAACCGCAAACTAGTTCCACTAGATTCGTCATGAATTTTCGAGACTCATTGAAAAATAACCGGTTATTTATGTGTTTACCCATCTTCGTGGAGTCCCTCCTTATACTAAAATTATCCATTGAGAGCAGCGCGGAGGATTAAACAGAGTTTATTAACATATGTTACTGTAAATCATAGAAAGAGCTCTTAACAAGCTATGAATGTACATAAATACATATCGTCGTTTAAAGTAGGAAACCGCGTAACTGACATTTGCTGCCAAAAATTGGATTTGCTCACACAAGCTCTTGAGTCAATCCTTGTCCATTCGTCCTGAAATATACTAGCCAGAAATGCGATTGCTTTATAAAAAAGAGAACCATTTTAAAATATGAGTGCTTTTACTCTCTAGAAAATAATTTATGCAACTTCATATACGCGGTTTCGCATTTTGTTGATACGCGGTTTTGTACTTTGAACGACGATAATGTTCATATGTGGCCCTTAAGAATCAAGTGAACGATTTTTTTCAATCTCACCTTCTCAATCGGTAATACCACGGTCACAGATATCACATATACATTTGGCCCCGATTGGAGACGGTTAAGGCGTGTCGCACAGGGGGCAAAGTACAGTTTCCTCTATAGAGACTCAAAAAATTAAAACTAATTTTTTTTTAACGAATACCCCAAATCGATACTACCATAGTCGAGTATATAACATATAAATTTTGGTCCCGATTGGAATCGGTTAAGAAGTATTCATAGGGTAATCTGAACTTTGACCCCTGTGCGACACGGCGTAACCGAGTTCAATCGGGACCAAAATTTATATGTGATATCTTGGACTATGGTTGTATCGATTTTGGGTATTAGATGAAAAAATTTTTTAAAATTTTTTTTAATTTTTTAAGTCTCCATAGAGGAATCTGAACTGTGACCTCTGTGCGACACGCCTTAACGTCCTCCAATCGGGATCACAATTTATATGTGATATCTTCGACTATAGTACCATCGACGTAGTGGTTGAGGCTTATAGCCCACTTATGCATACTTAGCTTTGCATGAAAGTTGTCACATAAGAATCTGTTAAACGAGCTTTGCGTGTAAGCGGTTACCCAACGCATACATGTGAAGTGCTATGAGTTGGGCAACCGCTTATACGCAAAACTCGTTTAACAGATTCTTTATGTGACAACTCTCATGCTAAGCCAAGTATACATAACTGAGCTATTAGGAAATCTGATGTAAAAATTTGGTTCCTACATTTAAGTACCACCCACCATGTATATTACATATATTTTACATGTTGTTAGGTAGTGAAATTAGTTTCTGCGTAGAACACAAACTCAAGTTTTGAATTTTCATATACTCCCATGGTAAAAATGAATACATATCTTGTTCTAGTGAGATACTGGTAATCGAAACAGCGACGAAATTTTTACACAACATAGAAGAAGAGATAACGATAATATCTCTATACTTAGCTCAATATATGTAATTTTTTGATTATGACACTATTGAAGTAAATGAGCGACCTAAAAAATCAATCAGTACCTCGGGCAGCTTGCGAGTTATGTTCCTGGAAAATGCCATGTAAAGCGAAACCGTGTTGAACGATACAAGAAACCAGTATAATAAAATTATAGTTTAAAAAACTAAAACCTCCCTATTATAATTGCTATTCGTACTGTCATCAGGTATGTAGCTTGAGAATAGAAATCGCTGCCTCTTTTAGGCGCATCAATATTACATAGTTACATCCCGAGTTAATAAAAGGAAGGTAAAATAAAAAAAAGAGACAAACCGGTTTCGGCGTTGTGCCATCTTCAGTGTCATTTTTCGTTCTGAACGGTTAAATGTTTCAATTCGATTCAAGAATGTGTTTACATGTGTGTGTACAAATAACATGGTTTGACTTTGAACGAATTGAAGCATCGTATAAATAAGGTAAATTATGACTATTAGTTATGGCCAAGGTGTATTAAACAAGGTGTGGTTGACAACTCAGTGAGGCTCTATTTTAAGGTACTATAACGTGTCAAAAAATATAAACAAATGACACACTCTTCTTCTAAAGATACAATTTCTACTAATAATAGACAACATTTTATGTGTAATTTTGCTCAATGCTATAAATTTGGTATGTAAAAGTAAACAAACAGTGTTTGATTTTGCACACATTAATTTAAACAAAATTTGTTTAAAGCAAATTTTCAAACATTTGATGTGTAAACTATGAAATTGTGAACATTAAGGGCCAAGGCGGTTTGACAGTAATCAACGGTTAACATCGTTATCGACGTTTTTGGCGTTTTGATTCCATTTGAGGAAACTGGTTACCGATCTTCATATGCTCAAATTTAAACACAAATTATTTAGAGTGTATATCGCTCATCAAATATTGCTTGTGCAAAGTCCAACTTTGTGGAGATGTAACTATTTCACAAAGGTCACCGGTAATGATTTTTGAACTGATTAATATTTGGGCTTATAATTCGAAAACCGGAACACTTAAATGAAGCCCGGGACATTTTAAGGTTGGACCGGGACACCGGGACAAATAGTGTAAAACCGGGATATGTCCGGGAAAACCGGGACGTCTGGCAGCCCTAATTGCCAATACCAGAATTTCGACAAATATTCATAGCTGAATTGCTGAATAATTTGACTGCGTTACCAACGTACCTAGAAACGCGATGGAAGGAAGTAACTTCTTTTGGTAATACAAGTTTCCGGTTACAAAATCATCGGAAAGGTGCAGAATAAGCTTTTTAGTAAAAAACAGTAAAGAACTTTAAGAGCCCCCGCACACTGCATACTTTATCGGGCGCCAACTATCTAGTCAGGTTGGGCTGTAGGTGCGCACACTGCAGACTGAATCGGTGTACTTAGGTACTTATACTTATACGGGAATACTACTACAAGTATAGCCCAAAATACTACAGCGCAGTGGAAGTGGCAGTGACAGTTTCTAAAATCAGCTGTTACTGCTAATATTGGCAGTCACTGTCACAGCAAACACAATACAGCGTTGTCAGTGACTGCGTTTTTTGACATTCCCTTTTGTGGGTGTTACATTTTTGTTGTTGCGTTTAGTGACATCAACAGAGTTTGCTGCGATGAATACAGTGGCAGTGAATTTAGAATTTGGCCTAAACTGAGCAGTACTGCCAGCTGCCACTGCCGTATTGTGAGTCGCTTCATTGGACACCACACTCTCTAAAAAACAGCTGATTTCGAAAAACTGCCGCTGCCACTGCCACTGCGCTATTGTATTTTGGCCTTATACATTTAGTTCTTTTAAGTGTGACCTAACCTTTGAGGGATTTACTAATTTTTGTATGAATATATCTACCTAAAGCGACCAGGTTTGAAGAAAGGTGTTTTCAACTGCAGCTCATTGATGTAACGTTGCAATTCGTATTTGGCAAAGTACGAGGTTACTCCAGAATCCAGTTCCCAACAACGAGGCAAAGTTGAATCCACAATTGTCCGTTGCTGCATAGGCACTTCTAGACGTTGAAGTAATAGGTGCATGTGAGTTTGGGTTTCTTCCAACCATTTGGCACCGATTTCTCCCATAGGCAATTGTACCAGATTACCACCAATAACGTCACTTGCCTCTAGTATTCTTATTTGTAACGAGGGATCTTTTTCCAGGAGGCGGTATGCTGTGACCAACCCGGATGCGCCTGCACCCACAATTATTATATCCATCTTTGCAGAACGTTCGGGAGGTCCGAGACGCAATTCACAGTCCTCTTCCATATTGGTATACATATCTGCATATGGAAGTTTTAAAGCTTAAAAATTAATAATATCAAATTTTAGTCAGTATCTGTGTGAAATTTAAAATTGACAAACAAAGATATATGTATGTATGTATATATATGGATATGTGTGTAACTGTACAATGGATTCTCGATAACTGGTAAGCTCGGCAAGTCAAAATCGCGATAACGTCCCAATTTGCCACTGGGCGAAGACGACGTCGCTCTGGCGAAACCGTTTTGGTGAACTCGAAACGACGTCGTTACGACGTCGGCCTGGTGAAGTCGTTTGGGTGAACTCGAAACGAAGTCGTTTTTTCCATACAAAATTCAACGTCGTCCGACGTCGTTTACTCTCCTCGAATCGAAGTCGGTGCGACGTTGGTCTGGTGAAGTCGTTTGGGTGAACTCGAAACGAATTCGTTTCTTCGAACCCACAAGTTTTTTGAGGAACCTTCGGTCTGGGTTGGACAAGTTCCACGCCCACATTATTATATATCTAAGTCATTGATTTGGATAGTAAACCGTTTTTATTATGACAATTTTTTATTATGACAGAATCCACAATGTACACTTGTACTCAGAAAATTAAGCCGCCTACATTTTTTTTTCAGTATTCATAATATTCTTCATATTATTTTATATTTTTTTATATATTTTTTTTTATAAAGGTACAGTTCACTCTTGTGGGTATGAAGTTTTTTTTTAATTTGGTATAAAACTGTACTTTTACTTTAAATTTGGTATAAATTTTGAGCATCGTTTTGCAATTCGCTGGTATATCGTTTTTGCGGCGTGCAGGGGAGTCGTTTTTGCGGCCCGCCGGCGAAGTGTGCTTTTCATCCGACGGCGAAAAAAATTGTTCACCAAAACGAGTCGGAAACGACGTCGTTACGTTTTCCCTGTTGTAATCGTTTTGCCTGTTGTAATCTCGAATCTCTTTGAAGGTCGCTCTACAATTTCGAGTTAAAAAAGTTTCATGAACACATAGATTCTTTAACGCTCACGCTCGTGACGTATCTGACTACGGAACCTTTCTAAGTTACACAGATTGGCGGTTGTTTTGACTAGCACGGAAATAACCTTTCCACATTTGCTTGTGTACCTAGACATGTACTTTCGCATTTGTTGGAATTCATATTAGCTATGTGAATATTAAATAATCAAATTTATCAACTTAACAAAATTTTATAATTTTTATCTTCCAACTAAACCTTTTAGTCGGGCCTGCACATACATGTATATATGTCAATATATATAATCATATAAAACCTTATATAACAAATACGAAAATTTCTGCTGAAAATCAAAAATGTGACCGTGTTTGAAATCGGCACTTGCCGCTTTGAACTTCGCGTATTCTGACTCGGGTCTTGCTTCAGAAGGCTAGTCAACTAGTGGCACCATGACTTAAGGCGATATTTTTGGACTTTGTGAGGCTGAGCTATGTGCCGGTACTATGGAGGGAAGCGAGGGTTGTCTTCATACCCAAGTCAGAAAAGAGCAACCCAGTTTTCTCTAAGGAGTACAGGCCCATAAGTCTGACCTCATTCCTCCTAAAAAAGCTGGAAAAAAATTCTTGACACTCACATCAGGGACACTGCAGCCAGGCATCTTTGCTATGGCCCAACATGCGTACACTAAGGGCAAGTCGACGGAGAATGCACTACACGCGTTAGTACAACACATCGATAAGTTTCTAGAGTACAAGGAATATGCTCTAGGGGTATTTCCGGACATTTCTGGACCATTCAATAATGTCTCAAGTGAAGCTATTTATGAATAGCATCGAATCAATTGGCGCAGAACCTGCTATTTCGCTGTGGATTAAACTTTTTTAGGCTACAGGAAATTAAGAGCGGAGTGGAACAACGCAAGGCTAAAGAGACGGGCATGCAGAGGCATACCGCAAGATGGTGTACTCTCACCATAATTATGGCCACTAACGGTCAACAAATTACTAAAGGAATTCGAGGGGAAAGCGCCCAAGCTAGTGGCGTATGCAGACGACATAGCCGTAGTAGTAACAGGGAACTACCTAGACCCTATCAGCAATGTAATGAACAGCGCCTTGAAAGTCATTGACCAATTGGCATCTCAAGCGGGTCTAGGGGTTAACGCAGACAAAACAGACCTTATAATACTCTTAACAAGAAGATATAAGGTCCCAGTGTGGACACCCCCGAGGCTAGATAGCATCAAGCTGTCAGTAAGCTGCCGTGGAAGCGTATGCATGTAAACTAATGCTGGGAGTCACTTGGGGTCTGTCACCTGCTCTGATGCATGGATGCTACACAGCAATAGTCAGACCATTACTGCTCGGGTTCAGCGAATCGCAGCACTATGCACCACGGGAGCGCTGAGGTCCACTCCAACGGCAGCTCTTGAAATTAACAGTTTAGCGCCTATTGACTGGCTTGGACAGGTCGGTACAGGAAGGGTAGTGAGCGGGAGACCAGGGAAATCTTGGAGCATCTTCTCTGCCGAATGCTTGGGAGCCTACCAATTCGAGAAGTTAGAGGACATCTCAAAAGTAGGGCTGAAATTTCTACTTTAATTCTCCGAACAGATTAACCTAACCTAACCTATATACATACATACATATGTATGTAGTTACTTACCCACGGTTTTATAGCCTCGAATCCAACAGTCCTATGCTCTGAATTATTAATTGAAAAATCTGTTTTCTTCGGAATCGATAATAGTTGAGAAAATCCGTTTGTTTAATTTCATTGCTTCAAAAAACCGCTTATGTTCACAACAAACTGACTGGCGTAAATGAAAATAGCACATGACAGATTATGATTTTTTAAACTTACTAAATAAAAGCGTTGAGTGAAACGTTTTCTGCCGCCTAGCGTTAACGCCGCTTTGTGTTGGCGTTAGCGTTGCCAAATTTTGGCTATGTGAACGGTTGTATTGGAATTCATGTATTCGTAGTCAGCTGTTGAAGCGACGCCAACTCCAACGCAACGCGAAAGGTGTATGTCAGGCACGCCCAACGCCGGCAGAACTCCATAAGCAAGTGCCCTGCGCTGGCAGAATTCTATAGTCAAGTGCCCTGCGCTGGGCATGCTTGGTGTATGTGAACGGGCCTTTACTTACCTTTGCTTATCAAATTGCTTTATGGTCTGATTAGGTATAATTCGCATAACTTCGCATAAGTTTTAAACTGTCATTTTGTATGTACTCCATTACCCAGAAATTAGCGTATCTTGTAAAAACTTAGCGATCTGTTGAGTTTAGCTTTTGCCTCTTATTTCCTTAAGTAATATTTCAATTGCAGTATGCATAACCACACCTTTAGGCACTGTTTTAATTTATATCCTTTTCATGTTTTCTTTTTTATGCGTTTGTACGTAAACAAATTTTCGATCAGCTGTACCAAAAACTTGCAAATTTTTGCTAGTTTAGCGTTCGCGTACTTTTCAAATATTTCTCTCCTTGAGAAAGAACACGTGGAAATTCACTAGAATTTCTATACATTTTGTTTATAGTTATGTGGTACATATTTTTAGGCCTAGTTTTTCTGCATAAACACCCTCAGTCTATTTATGAATGTATGAAATTCCCTTTACCAAAAAATTTTAATTGAATAACGCTACTTATTTAATTAAGCAAAGGGGGTTTTTCTTTTTAGCCCCGGTTTCGAGTCAATGGCAAATAAGAAAACGGGTTCCCAATTTTGAAATTAAGAAAAACCGGTTTTATTTTAAATACATATTTTTCATAAAGTGATAATACTTACGGTTAGTCCAAACCATGGTAAATATTACAATAAAACTATCAATAATATGTATAGTGTTTATTAAAAAAAAAAAACAGCAAAACAAATTAAGTTCAAAATATTTTAAAACAAAAGTAAAATACCTAATTTTTAATGAAAGATTCACGTTTGGTTTTTATTGTTCGTTTCACATTTTAAAATCGAATAAATTTTCCTACGTGTACGGCCAAGCTTCTTCTCCAATATTAATTTTTAAAAATTAATTTTCAGCTGAAATTTCATTTACGAAATAATTGATTCTTTTTAAACATATATGTATGTATGTAATTATGTATGTGCTTGTATACTTACTTACAATGGGCAAATAATATTCAACTAAGATGTTTGCATAGTTCTTATAGTTTAGAAAAGAAAAACTTAAAAAATAGACTTGTGCGATTACAATCGTTCAAAAATATTTTTTAGAGACGTAACAACATCGTAAATGAAATGGAAAACGTCGTGACTAATATTTTAATTTTTTTCCATAAAATGGTTTGGGGAGTTGTAATTCGATGAAATCCAACATATAAATCAAAAAGTGAATTTTGAATTTTTTTATTAGTTATAACTTTTTGCATTTCAACGATGATGTTTCTTACGTGTTTTTGCATTTCAGATGACGATATGTACATATACATATGTGTGAGTGTGTGCGCAAATTTCTAAATGCAATAATGTTTGTATATCGTCGTTTAAAGTATAAAACCGCGTATCGTCGTTTTGCAAAACCGCGTAACTGAAATTTGTTGCCAAAAATTGGATTTGCTCACCGAAGTTCCTCATCCATTCGTCCTGAACTATACTAGCCAGAAATATGCGATTGCTTTATAAAAAAGAGAACCATTTTGAAATATGAGTGTTTTTACTCTCTAGAAAATAATTTATGCAACCTCACATACGCGGTTTCGCATTTTATTGATACGCCGTTTTGTACTTTAAACGACGATATGTATGTATGTATGTATGTACAATAAACCGTATGTATCACAATGATAATGTAATCGCCCATGTTAGAGTAATTATATTTGCTTATAGATAGTTTTCAGAATTTTTAAACCTTTATTATTAGGGCTGTTTTAGTACGTTGCCGAAAAAAATTTTTATACTCCTGAAGCACTTTTATTGAAAGTGTTCAAAATCGATTGGCACAATTTGAACATAATTTTGTGATACGGTTTACTGTACCATATAAACCTAGCCTTGGTCATGTAGTATCAAATAAAAGGGTTTGATTACATATTGAACATAGAAACGGTAAA